AGTAGGGACTGCTCAGATTTGCCACTTTCAACTTTTTTGCTCAGTTTTTAACTTTAAATGGTCAGGTTTTCCACAGTAGACTGCTTTATTATGTAGCATAGGGGTGTTTCGCTGCAAACACACCTTCAGTTATCAGGATATTACCGGACTTGCGTCTGCTCGTCTGCGTGTTCCGAAGCGCTTAGTTTCTTTTTTGGAGCTTAACTAATGATTCTTGTCTTGAATTCAAGTTATTTTCTAAAACCAAATATAAAACCGCATGTTTCCGAAAACCATTCCGATTTAATACAGCAAATTTTCTACGAAACGTAGTATTGGGAGCTCTCAACATTGGTATAAAACATTTTTTAATTTATAAAACACACCAGTATAAACATTGCATTAAAAAGTAACATTTATATTCACAATAATCAACAATGTTCAAACCTTTAGTATAAGAATTCGGTAGGTAAACTGAAGAACAGTTAAGCAATTGATTATGAACTATCGGATTTTACATACAGTATTTCCGCATTAAATCATCAACTTCCTTAATTGGAGTGACGTTTTTCTCTCGTAAATATGTGTCCAGTTTCGATAGGCCTGAAAAAAACGGTTAATAATAAGCCTATTCTAAGCTATTCTATACTTACACTCTTTATCCGCTGAGTCCATCAGCATAACAAGGGTTGCAAATCTCTTCACTTGGGACAGGGCAAGGAGAAAGTCGTAGACATTGTCTTCCTTCGCGATGAAATTGATTGATAAAACCTTCAATATTTCACTAAAAGTTCCCGATTCTAGCAGAGACTCGGTGAATACGGTGCGGAACGTTTGCGAGCCGATTAGCTTTAGATATTTGTACTTTTCGCAAAGATCTTTCTCTCTTTGCCAGGCGACGTTGAACTGGACGGATGACTTGGGAAGGACAATTTCCTTCTCAGACTGGCTTGTTTTCTTGGGTTCTTTGCAACCATTTTCAACGCCTTTTATATTATTTTCTTGAGCTTTTTTTTCGACTATCACCAGATCATCGCTTCTTAAAATACTACTAGTCTCAGCATTATTTCTAGGCCAAGCAGTATCCTTGGCTTGTTTCCGACTTTTCTGAAACGCTGAAATTGGCTTCATTGGTTCGCCTGCTCCCTTGAAGTCGGGCTGGATGTGCTCGATGACATGTTTTTTAACAGCGCTAGATGCTTCGTCTGATCTTTCTTCAATTTTAACCGATGGCGATGATAAACTGTTTATTTCTAGGACTTTAATTCTCTTCAACGGCTTCTCTGATCGTAAATGTGGGGGCTTATTGATTGCCTTGACTGGAATAATTTCGCAACCAGGGTCAGGCCAATCGGATGTATCGACTTTCTTTGTTATATCTTTTTCTGCTTTAGCAGTGTTCGTTTGTTTAATGGCAACTGTTGGTTTGGATTGTAGCGTTTTATTTCTGGAGGCAGCAAACTGCGACACGCGCATTTCTTCGGAAAGTTGACTATCCGTTGTCGATAATCCGCGCTTTTGTCTGTTTTTCTTTAGAGCCAATGTTGCTTCCTTGTTCTTCGGTTCCAGTTGAAGCACACTCAACCAATCCTCAGCGGCCTGTAGTGGCTTTCCAAGGCCTTCTCTTGCAGCTGCTCGTCGCAGTAGGGCTTTCACGTAGGTGCCATCCAGCCTCAAAGACAACGTGGAATCTTCTTCTGCAGCAATGAAACTGAAACCCACAGTTAGTAGGGTTTTTTAGTTACAACTGTGTATATCGGTTACCTGTTTTTCTTCAAGTAGCACAGCGCTCTATTAGCATAAAATACCGGATCATACGAGTATAAATTAATTGCTTTGGTGTAGCAATTAATTGCTCTGTCCCATTCTTTTGATTTAACGTGCACATTGCCCTGAAAATAACCCTGATGTAAATTTGCTGGGAAATAATGCAAACGAAACCGGGATTGGAGCAAAGACAGTGAAGGACCAGTGAAAACGGCCCTTTAGAACTAATCTGAAGGCTGTTTTACCACAGTGAAAAGTGGCATTGGCCCTGCTCTGATGCTCCAAACTGACCATTACATGTAAATACCTTTTCCTTCAGTGTTATGGCCTGATCCCACGCACTATTCTCAACCTCATCAGATAGTTCCGAGTCTTCCTCGCAATCATGTTCGAGCAGCTCGCACTCCAAATCAGCGTCATATTTCTCCCATTTACTGTAGTCTGTTGCACGTGTCTTTGGCGCTGCTTGTACTTGTGGTTTCTTTTTAGTCTCAGCTGGCGTTTGGAACTTTACTTTCTATAAGATTTTAAGTCGTAAAAATGCCCGGAATTCCCCTAATCACCTCTGTTAACTTACCTTGGACCGGTCGCTGCGACTCGTCTGTTCCTTTAGCTTCATTTCTTCGCCCCAACTTTCGAGGTCTTTGCGATATTCAGTCAAATCATTCATGTTCTCCTTTAGCTGTTTGTTTAGCAAGATCGGGTTCATCTTTTTAAATCACACGGCGACTAAACTGGCGCTAATATATCACGAAATTAGATAATTTTCAACACTGATTACTGCTCTTTTGTCTGGCAGCTTTCAGTGAGGTTATGGTTTTGTTTGGTCGATTTCAAAATTCAGATCACAGAACATACCCCTAGGGGGTATATTCTGTGATTTAGACTGAAGAAGAAAATTAAATTTTAGCTGTAGTCAAATAATTTCAAATATCAATTTCAACGTAAAATTTAAAAGAAAGAAAAAAAAAGGTAAATAAACGCAGTAAAAATATTTACAAGTTTTAACAATAGAGTACCAAGAAATTGCCTAAAATAACAATTTTCGTATTGACATATGTTTAAATTACAGAAATTATCCGCAAAATTACTGCAATTTTACCTAAAACTATATGTGGCTTTTCTATTTCTGTCTCTCTCTCCCTCGGGAAATATTAAATGATCATCTCTCTCGAAAGCACTTTTTCAGATGCATTAATCTTCTAATCTTACGAAATCACGCATTGTCTGCAGAGAAGAAGAAAATGAACGAAAAATTCAATATGGCTACTGAAACGTCAGTGTCAGATTGTGATAAATAAACACAGATGTTAGGCCTTTTCAAACAAAGTATTCTTATTTTGTAAATAATATACTATAGTTGATACATATTTTTAATAATTTTAATTGGCCATTGCGACTAAATCCACTTGTTGTTTCTGGTAAGTTGTAATTGGGCAAGCGGGTAGATGGCAATCCAGTTTCTTTCACCCAGTAGTTTTCCCCTGTTCTATCTGTGTTGGTTGTTAATTTACAGCAGCATTTATTAACAGATGTCTAACATAATTCCTCCACTGCTAAGTGATACACCTCCACCACCTCCAGATGTTGATGAACATGATGAAGATGAATTTGGAGATTTTATTGGTACCAACAATGTTTCATTTGATTGCGACGATGGTAAAGATCAATAGCCCTTAGTTGGGAAACTTTCTAAATACCGTTTAATCTGGAAACTTCATAACCATTCTTTATTACATTGCAGGTTGTTCTCCTCCAGGATCTCCGCTACAACTTCCCGTCGAGCCCTTTGTCTTTGATAGGATGCCACCCGAAATCACTGACTTTAATAGTAACAGTAAACCAAGTAGAGTAGAGCAAATACCAGAACTAGATACCTCAAAAGATTTTCATGATAAGAGGAAAAACGCTATTAATGAAACTAGTGAGATACCGTTACGTTCTGATCAATTATTCAATGCCCTTTCAGTCAATAAGGATGCTATCCAACTGAATAAAACAGAGGAAATTATTGAAACCAACTGTGATAAAGAAGAAACCTTCTCCAGTCAAAGTGAAATTATTAAGTTAAGTAGTGAGCATTTTAAGGACCACCCGGCACCTTCAACACTAGCAGAAAATTTGCCAATTAATAATCCTACGGATTTAAGTGAACCAACGTCATCAGTAATCGCAAATGGAGTTGACGTCCGCAGCAGCTCCAGCTCGGATATTTCAGGAAATACCGCAGAAGTCCTTGAAGGGTTGAAACCGGGTGATCAACTAGGGGACACATCTAGCGCCCTACATCAACAGATTCCACCAAACAGTCTGAGATTTGAACATCCCCAAGCTTCAGCAAAGTCAACAGAAAATGGGCTTTGTGAAGCAAGTCCTGGTTCTCCCTCACCAGGCCCTGAAAAACAAAATTGCCCTCAGTTGGCTAACGATGTAGAAGCGCCTCAGTCTCCAATTAAATATGCTGATAGTGATTTTGAGGATTTTCAGAGTAGTGCATTAGAAAACAGTCAGGAATCAAATACGGATTTTTTCGCGAATTTTGATTCATTGCCAGCAAAACCAATCGAAACTCCTGAAGATGATGAATTTTGTGATTTTGTCACACCGCAAGCGGGCAAAGAAACTGGCGCTGGCATACCTGAGTTTGCCAACTTCGACAGTTTCTCCTGCTCAACTGATGCGGAAGATGAGTTTGGAGATTTTGCCACAACTACCATAGAGCCTGAAAGTCAGTTAGATGGAGCAGATGGGAAAATACTGTTACTAAACGAGACAGAGGCGCTAGAAAAAGCTACCCAAATTGTACAGGAGATGTTTCCTCCGCTGGAACAGCCGCAACCGGATTTTACCTTCGGCGGCTTAGAAGCTGATGATGAGATTTTCAACCAGATCAAAAACATCACCGACACTCACGCGCTATCTTATCACTGGACGAAATCAGCTAGCCAAAAGCTGCTGCTCAAGTCACTCAACATCGATTCAAGAAACATTGTAAGTGATTGAACAAGTGAAGCGATTTCATTAATTTTTTCAGCACAAATGTTTTTCGCAGATGTTTGGACCAGGGTGGAACCCCGCGATGCCCCGATTCGCCTCCAGTTTAAGCGTACAACCGTTAGAGCCAATCAAGTCAGAAATACTCACTCCCATGTCCATAAAGGATCTTAGTAGGTCCAGGACTGCCAAAGAGTCTGCAACTGCGGATGGTTCGAAGATCGGAGACGTACCTTTGATGAAACCAATTGCATGTAAGTTTTTCCATAAGTTTACATTCGGCTTTTGAGAAATAAGGCTTTGTGCGATGGTTTTATTTATTGAAAACGAACATTTTTTCATGCTTTCTCGGGACGCTCCTTTTAATTGTCCTTGCGTACTTTCAAATCCTTTTCAAAATGCAAAGTCTCCTCTTGCTCCATGCTGCTTGATCTAGACCAGTTCGGAGCCCATCTGGACGCTCCTTGCTTGACCAGCACTCCTTTATCAAGCCATATCCCTTCCCCAAATAAAGAGTTACTTAGTTGGGAGTCCTGGTTGCAATGTAAGTATTATTTGCTTAAGCTGGAACATAGACGGGCGATTGTTATGTGCATGTTTTCTTTAGCTTTACCCGTCAAGGAACCCAGCAGCGCCCCAACTGCTTCCACTATCGGCGATATTTTGGAACTGAAAGAGTCCAAGTGTGGTTCAATCGAGTCGAACAAGCAAACTCCCCAAACTGATTTGGATGTAAAGCCGGCGGTGGAAGTGCAGCTGAATGATTTTGATGATTTTGTGTCGCATCTGCCGCCAGTTAACCAGACTGCTTCACATGGGCACAGTATTATTTTAAGAGAAACTCACATCTCCAACAAGGCGCCTGGCAAAAGTGAAGACACCGATATCGTCAGCTGGTTGGAGCCTACCATAGTAACTCCGGAACTGATCCGGAAAGAGCGACAATTTGTTGAGGGCGAAGAGGAGTTTGATGATTTTCAAATGATTGTCGCTGAAAGCCAAGCTAGTCAGATTTCAGACACTGTGAACAGTTTAACAGTCAAGGCTGTAGCTGTGCTTCAACCGCACCCCATAGTGAATCAGGAAAGCAAAGTAGTTGTAAAATGCTCTGAGGAAGAGGCCAGTGGTGAACATAAACCGGCTGTGGTGGCTGTTGGCAAAGTTGCAGCTGCAGAGGACGAGTTTGGAGAGTTTACATTTTCAGTGCCGAATTGCGCCAATGCAGTCAAAAGCGAACCCTCCAAAGCTCCTGCTGCTTTATCCCTTTTGGAGCCTTTAAAGCCATCGATTGTTAAGGGCCGAAATGTTGCCTCGATCAGCTGGCCGGATCCTGGTGTAACTGAAGACGAAATCAGCAGGTTCGAAGCTCTAGGATATGCCCGCACCCAACAGCAAGAACCTCCAAAAGAAGCAGGGGCTGTTTCCAAACCCCTATCCAGTACAAAGCCGACTTCAAAACCCACTCAAAAGGTTGAGGATGAGGAGTGGTCGGATTTCGTTTCGGTTCAAAACGCATCCCCCATTCACAAGCTGAAGGTGGAAAAAGAGCGCAGTTCCACTCCCGATTTGCCCTTGTCGGTGCTGAATTTGGGCACGGTTCATCCAACAAAGCAACCCATTCCTGTGATAACTCCAAACGGTTTAATGCAAACCAAACTATCGTCTAATATGCCGTTGAACTTATCGAATAAGGTGCCCCAGAAGAACAAGGTGTATCCGCAAACTCAAGTTCAATTCAACCACGTTTACCAACCGTCTATTATCAGCAATCAGTTCGCAAGTCAGGCATACGGCGGCTTCAATAGCTATCAGCCGCAAGCGTCGAATAGCTTGAAATCTAGCACAGAAGACGATGAGTGGAGCGACTTCGTGTCTCATCAGTCCACAGCGAAGCCGCATCAGCCTAATCAGTTTCCTGGCTGGAGCAACTCCACACCTCATGTTATGCAGAGTGGCTCTAGTGGGCAGAAGCAAGTGAAAAAGGCCCCGAGTTCATACCTGGGCAAGAACACTGCAATGTCGAACGTCTCTGTTCCGGACCTGGACTTTCTAGCCCCCAGAAATCGGACTTCACACCGTAAATGACTAAAGGAGCAGATTATCTTGTAAGTTTTGTTGCTGCTCTACTATTATTTCCTCAAGTGAATTGATTTGTTGCAAGAATACTTAATCATCCGTTTAGCCGGCGACAAATAATTAATCACCCAGATGAGTGGATTACGTTACGGAATACTTGATTTAACGAGTAAATGCGAAAAGCGCTTGTAAATATTCGTTGAACAAAATGTATGAATGTTGTAAACTGCCGACTTTTAGGACTTTTTCGCATTTGTACATAGAACGAACCGTTTTTGCTCTAGAAAGATCGTCACAATTTCTGCATGATATTGGTTTTGTTTAATTTTATTTATTTATTAATCCTGCATTTTAATCGATTGATTTTGCGTAGGCACTTAGTATTTGCTTCACGTAGAACGTCCAGAAATACAGTGAGTGGTTGGGTTCTGCTATAGCGGGTGTCCCAGAATTATAACAATATTTCCAATATATTCTTTTGCGAATTCATTGTCTATGAAAATCGGGGACACTCGGTATGCAGTGTTTTTGTTTGTTTAGTAACATTAACAGCTATTGTTATGGGCAGCGACAAGTGCAAGTCGAGTATTATTTTTTACGTATTTATTTAATTTATCACTTTTTCATCATTCAACTAGCAATATATTATCTATGAACTTTTAGTATTATTACCAGTATACTTCACGGACATGCGGTTTTTGCAAAAGGAATCAGATTGAGGATGTTGTAGAATCATTAATACTTTGATGTAACATGTTTTTTGGATTTGTGCGCATTTGCGGCTTAGCAATAAGGATGTTTTACTTAGTTAAGTATTAGCTGGATTCAGTATTCGTTTATGGTTTCGTTTAGTGTGCGCACTTATGGTTTATTATGCAAAGTGATTGGGGTTTAGTGAATATTCACAGCTTGAGTACTGTTGTAAATATTGTATAACGACTTGTTACTATAACATTCCAAATAAATTTATTATTACAATAGGGTTGTCTTGAGTATGAACGATACATATTTAATTGTATATACTTTCCTGACTGTGTTTTAATTCCAAATCAAATTCATTCCTGGGTTTCAGTCATTTATTGTCTCTATTTATCAATCAAAATACGT